GTTGACCCTCTTTCAGGCACAGGCTTTGCTGCTCCAGTGAGCAACGTATGTCAGTGGCTGCGAGTCTTGAGATGGGCAGTTTAAAGTTTGCTTGGCTGTTTCCACAGCACATTTCAATTAAAAAAGCCTAAGACTTGGAGAAAGCAGAGCAAAGTCACCTTCAGCATCCCTTCTGGTAATGCAAGCAACTGGGATACTGAAATTGCCTGCGCTGACATGTAACTCAGTGACCAAACGCTGTGTCTAAGCAGCCATGAGGTGCCACTTGGCCTGTGAGCAGCTACACACAATGAACTGCTAAAAGACAATGACTCCAAAACCGGCTTCAATTGCCTCTAAGTGCCCATTCTTCAAAGTCTAGTAAGCCAGAGAACTTACTGCTACAAGTCTGGGACAAGCTAAAGGCCCAGAGCTGCTTTCATTTCTATTGAGGAGCACTTCCAGGAAAAACATGAGGTAAGTCCCCACAGCTGTGACCCTGACAGTTGCTCTTCATTGTGTGGCTGTGTAGATGGTTTATCTCTAAATGTAAAACCACACTCCTCCTTTTCAGCTGCTTCCTGTTTGCCATATCACTTCTCTGATTTGCCTTAATCTTTCTGAATTCCAATATTCTGCTTCATGCTTCTAGGTGCTCCCATTGACATTCTCATCTGAAAACTTAACGAAGAATTCTATATCCCATGATCCCTGTTAATAAGGACTGCTCCAGCAGTTCAACTTCCTACCTGGTTTTGCACATCCTCATCATAATATTATCTAAATTAATCTTCCACAGCTTGCCTATGGGAATGTCAGAGAAGACAGCAGAATTAAGATGACAAATCAGCAATCATGAATTGAAAGTACAGGATTACTTGATTAAAGGAATTGCACGCATGAGTGTAACTAATATCCAGTGGGAAGGAAACTTTGCTTTCACTTTGTAAGCCTATGCAGGATCATTCTCCACAGAAGATCACAGAAGTGTTGGTGCATGTGCCCCTATTACCACAGCCTCAGAAAGATAACCAACAGCATGATATCTATCATGATTATACAAATAATTTTAAGGGACATGGTAATGGTCATGCTGTCCTCACGGGGCAAAAATCAGTATAATAATGATCATGCAAAATGATAATGAGTATAAAAATCCCAACTAACTATCCACTAGTTGGTGTGACAAATCGCTAATGAAACCTAGCAGATTACCACAAGGTATCTTTACAAGACAGAGGCTTTCATCAACAGGATATATCACGTTCTCCACATACAACTCAGAGATGGCTGTTTTCATAGACAGATCTGTTCAAATCATCATTTTTTCTGACTGGATAAGACTTCATGTGAAGTGGTCTGCTTTTATCCACGTGATCTGGACTGCTAGTGAAGACTCCAAAAAGAGGTCTTCTGTGGGTTGACGGCTGCATCCAAACATGGACTTACTGAAACTCTTCAGGTGCCACAACACAGTAAGACAAATACAGACCAACAAAAGCAAAGCTTCAGATCATATTGGTTCGTAACACAACTACGTGGACTAAATAGGTCAGCCAAACATTCTGCGGATCTATGGTGCCAGTTTCAGCATCCTGCTCTGTCGCACAGAGATTTACCCTTACAAGTGTTGCAAGGCTAAGAGAGCTTTGAGGCAGATTATCCAAATTTTCACTTAAATTAATACACATTCTTGTCAGGAATGGAACGTTTTACATGGTGATATTTTGCAGGTTGCTGTAAAGATACTACTGTTACTTCATGGCTATTTTAAGATTTGTATCATTGAGTGGATGCTGAATGGCCAAAAGCGTTCCTTTTTTGTGTCTGAATAAATGAGCACTTTGCTACTGATCTACTGTAGGGTATTTTTATTCTTTCACTGACAGACTTTCACGGTTCCAGACTGATCAACCCCATTGCCCCAAAACACAATCCACAAGGATAAGCAAGACCATGTTTGAAGAAATACTTGCTGTTAAAAAGACAACATTGTCCTCACCAACACCTTATTTCCAATGAAAAAAAGACAGTGAACTGACCATAGTTCAGGAAACCTCCGACCAAGAAGAAACTCTTTTGAGACCTGCTAACAGTATTTCAATTAAAACACATCAGAGGTGAGAACCTGGAGCTAGTGAGAGCTCCAATGACAAGAAACAGTGAAACAGGAGGAAACACCCTCCTAAAAAGGCCTGGATTATCCAGTGAGGAGACAGGACATTTTCACATGTGAATACCAAGGCTAAGAACCTGGGTAGAACCAAATCCCTTGCATTTAACACCAACATCTATAATGCTCTGACTACAGGCTTACCTCTGTCATCCTCAACACATGAAATTTGCTTTCTATCATCAGCATTTTCCCCAGGTGGAGCAGTCAAATATGATCCCACCATTTTCAACATCCTCACTGCTGACTCTTTTAAAAGTTTTCAAATAACCACACCGCCCAGTCTATGCAGCACCATTACTTGAAAACGAACATATGAATGACAGTTATCCTCCAGAATGGAAACCTCAACTCTTCCATCAGTTTTCACACCCAGAGTGCACACCAACCGCTCAAATACCTGTTACGTGTACTTTGAGGACACTACTCACGACAGTCACTCAGCACACCAGAGAAATCATGTTTTTGAAAGAGCCACAGGGATACTGCATAAGAAATAACTTTTATAAAAAGAGAGGCCCTCTACCTCGAGTACTGTGTGCAGTTTTGGGCCCCTCAATACAAGAAAGGCATTGAGGTGCTGGAGAGAGTGCAGAGAAGGGCAACAAAGCTGGTGAAAGGCCTAGAGAGTGAGTCTTATGAAGAGCGGCTGAGGGAACTGGGGCTGTTTAGGCTCAAGACAAGGAGGCTGAGGGGGGACCTTACTGCTCTCTACAACTGCCTGAGGGGACACTGTAGAGAGGCAGGTGCTGGTCTCTTCTCACAGGTAAGTAATGACAGAACAAGAGGAAACGGACTCAGGCTGCAGCAGGGTAGGTTTAGGCTTGATAGGAGGAAAAATGTTTTCACTGGAAGGGCTGTCAGACGTTGGGATAGGCTGCCCAGGGAGGTGGTGGAGTCACCATCCCTTAACGTGTCTAAAGGTCATTTAGATGTGGTGCTGGGGGATATGGTTTAGGGGTGTGCTTGGTAGAGTAGGGTTGATGGTTGGACTCGATAATCTCAAAGGTCTTTTCCAACCTGAATGATTCTACGATTCTACTCATTGTATACATTGCTCTCAAACACCATCCTAAAAACTAAACCAAAAAAACCCTCAAAAAAGTGATAATCTATGTTGGAACATCCTACTCAGTGGAAAATCTTCCCTAGAGCCATCCCCACCCGTCTTTAAGCTCTGCCTTCCAACCTTGCCAAGCTTATCATCAGGAGGAAGCTTTTTGTGTGGAAAAAAACCAAACCAAGTACAACTCGTCAAAACCTTCCCTTGCACCTTCTTGTAAGGACCTTCTATCCCAGACAAGAGCACTTCCTGGTCTCATACATGGACTTACCTAGGAAGTCATATCCAGCACACATGCCACCCTCACACCCACAGCTGAGTTCCAGCAACTCCTAAGACCAGACTGAACTCATATAGACCACTGCTGAAGCACAGACACATCTAACTGCTGCAAAAGCAGCTCTCATAAGGTAATTACTCAGCCTCTGATTGTCAATCCTGATCCTCAAGGGAAACCTACAAACTGCCCTCCAGCCACAAACCTAGGAATAAAAATTAATAACATTTTAAGATAGTAAGACACCACTTCTCTGCCACACCACAACCTCCCACATTCTCCACACCCCACAGGCTATAACCTCTCTCTCTCTGCCTATATCTAATTTGGTCATTTAAATATGTCAGGAAACATTACTTCTTCTTCCATGAGAAGACAAGTATCATATAATTTCTGCTTTCCTACAAATTAGCATTCCCACATTGAACTTGCCAGCTCCATTTCCTTTCAGAGATGATCTGATAGATACCGACTCAAACCTCTGATGGATTTTCTCAATTTGTATTCCATTCTGAAAGCAAGCTGTCACTTTTAGGTCAGGCCTGAAGGTGGCTTGCAAGCCTGAAAGCTTTCCTCCTTTTGAAACCACACTCTCTGGTCTGACAAAAGACATTACCTCTGCATATGTCCCTGGATATCATGGTCAGAACAATGCTACTAATTCTTTATACAGTTAAAAATCAAGCCATGTTTACATTTCAAGTAAACTTCTAATACTTATAAAATGTTTCAAAATGTGATTTGGAATCCCTAAAGGTTTAAAGATACCTTGTCCTTCCCAAATCCCTAAGACTGTGGAAATCGGAGCAATATTTTGAGGCCACTGTAAAATTCTGGTTTTCCAGCTTAAACTTTTTACAAGTCATGACTACCCTCATCAAAGGTTTGACAATACAGAAAGTGATCACTGCCATTAGAGAGTAAGATAAAGCTAGAAAGACGCAGAAAACTCCTCATTGCTTAATATCACACAAACAGTTGTCCTAATCACCAGTCTTCCTTCACCAATCAGCCAGCCCCAACCTCTGATAGGAGTAATTACGACAATACTCAGACTGTGGGAAAACAAATATGGATCAAAATGACTTAACATTCAAACATCTTCACTCTCTCAACTTCCTATTCACCACCACAACTAACTCTAATTGCCCTTGCTCAGTATTCCAGGAGGTACGGTGTCTACATTTCAATGCTCTCTGTTCACCTTTTCCCTCCCAGAGCTGTGGTCTTTGTGGCCACTATGGTCCAAATCTTGAGTGACGGAAAAAGCCAGTAGACACACACTTCTGTTCCCTCCTCAACATTCACACATGTGCAGAGGCATGCAGAGTCACAAACTTACTAAGAAATTTACTTATCAAATAAAGATAGAATATATATTTCAGAAAACATGTGAACCATTGTATAGGAGGCAAGAGCTCCACTAACCAAATACCTTTCAGGTGAGAGCCTGTCACTGTGTCTACATTCAACTTATCCTTGTTTTGAAAAATGACCCGTGCTCTTACCATCATGATTAGAATTTCCCAGGGTCCATGGCTCATCTGAATCGAAGTGAGTATCTCCTCCTATTCCTGGTCCAGGAAAGTAAGCGTGAGCTAGGAATCCACCTTCTCCATCAAACGGAGAACTGTCTCCATGGAAACCAGAAGCAAAAAATATCATAATATCTGCCTCCTTTCTGTCATTTTTAATTTCATGGTAAGGGACCTCTTCAAAGGTAAGTGGTGTCACTCTCTGCCAAACATCAAATGCCTGACGAATGGCTCTCCTCGTATCAATCTCTCCAACCTTGGGCGTATAGTTGTGCACACTGTGTGAATGAGAAAGAAGGGTTGTTTAAATTTTCAGAAAACATTTGAGACTTATTATAATTCCCCTACACAGCCACATCTACACAGTTTCCATTTCCAAAGGGTCTTTTTTCTTTGCAGACACTACTTTGTGCATCAAAGTTTTGCTGTTACAAATAAAGTTACCAACAGAACTACAGCTCTGATCTGAAGTCTACATTTATTATTAAGTATCTTCCCAATACTTCGATTGATCTTGCATCCCTTCCAAAAATTCTGACAACCTTTCAAATCAATCCTGGCGTAGACATCGAAGTAATTTAGTTTAAACATGTAAATTATTTCAGATTTTGTCTGAAATTATCATGCTAAAATGGAGTCCAGTGCAGGGAAAAAACCTGACTACTAAAATCCTTTTTGAGAAACAAACCTTTCAGTAAACTATACAACATTACTGATATTACATTCTCAGGACCACTCAAAATACTTCAGAGCTCACAGGAGTGACGGACCTGCCAGTCTTGTGCAACCCGGTCCATGACAGCTGATGATACAGAGTTTGGGGGTGTGGGAGAAGTTTAATTGCACAGAAATTTCCCCTAAGTGTAAACTTTAGCTTAAAAAGTGCTGTTCATGCGGTGGCTTTTGTGTGTGTGTATAATAGACTCAAGACCTTTCAAACTTGGCTTGGGGAATATGAAATACCTATGTCATGGAAACAACTTCTGTCTTTAATGACACTGTCTCAATTTAACAACTGACAGATGAAAGACTGTAATACATTCAGTGGCAGAACAAAGTATCACTTGCATGGCACACTACAAATACTGAAACTGGAAAGTTAAACAACTACTAGTTGCCAACCTGCGTCCTGTGGTTGTGCATCCACTTAAGATATATTTTATTTATACAATTACATACCAGTTTTCCCTCAGGTCCAGAAAAGGTTAGAAGCAGGATCTGACCCCCAGATTTTCACAAACAGAAGGTGTCCCGTTACAGTTTGAGTTAAAGGAGTGATTACCGGTGGAAGCTCTGAACTGGTCCCCAGAGCTAGTCCCTCCTCCCAGTTTCTCTAGTCCCTCCCTGTTACCTGAAGAATCCTCCTCCTCCTTTCTCAAAGCTCTCGGCAGAAGCAACAGAGTGCCCCAGCCCCTGATTCTCTTTCCCCTCACACCGTCATATCTCTTCCTACACATTTGACACCTTCCCCATGCTGGTCACTCATATTTCTACCTCTTCACCAATTCTGTCTTAGACTTGCTCACCCATACCCTCTTCTTAATATCTACATTCCTGATTTTTACTCCTCTGCAACCTCCTTTTCCCCTCAAAAAAAATTAAAAGGATATACTTTCAACTGGAGGGGGGCTTAATTTTAATTTCAAGTGACATTCTTATTGTCAGAAACTTCCACTGGTATTATTTGGCAATTCCCTTTCAAAAGCTAAGGGCCTAAAGGACTCAAACAAAACACATCTCTAGGAAACACTCATCACTGTGTAACACTCATTTGACACTTGTAGCCCACTTCAGCCGGCCTGAGTCTGGACAAAAGCAAGAGCTCTACCACATGAGCAAAAGGAAAACCTCTGCAAAAATAAATGTTCAGTAAAATGCTGCAAATCAGTACAAGGAGAAAGCATCACACCTTTAGACAATGATGTTCCTTCCACTTCAATGGTTTGTTAAAGAAGACGTGTGACCTAAGGACTAGAGCCTTAATAATATCTACAGGAACAGAACAGGGCTTGCCAGGATTTTCCTGCCAAAACTACACAACTGATGGCTGGGATTTAGGCGTCTTTACTGATCAGTTACTTTCTAATTCAGAACAGACTCTTCAGTTACTCCAGTGCTCTGAAATTATTCCCTCCACCCTGTTCAGAGAATGAAAGCCTCCATGAGGCATTACAGGGAAAATCCAGTTTTTAAAAGTACTTACAGAACTCGCACACCAAACAAGTACAGAACATTTTTTTCCCCAAACAAAAAGGTACCTGGAGGGGCTATACCTGTAGGTTATATGCTTCTGCCTCCACTTTTGCCCAGTTAGTGCATACCGCTTTTTCCTCCGGCTATAGCGTAGGTGAGGATGATCTGGAACTCCACATCGAGGCTTCTTCATCCACCTGGAAGCGAAGGAAAGAAAAAGCAAGCTAACAAAGAGTTTGGAAAAGTGATTCAAAAGAACTCAGGTGGTGACTGGAAGACCCCTGAGGGATGGCCAGTGCAGACACCAAGAAAGCTCAGTCTTCCCTCTCTCGGGTTTACCCTCTTTGCAGAGAGCTGTACACCCCACCTCTGCTGGCAATCCACACACCTCAGCACACCAAAAAGAATTCATTTTTCCTTTTCACAGATACCAGATCAGGTAGCCCTTATGCTTGACAAAAGCTTAATGATAATAAAGCCACAAAAGAGACCCAGATCAAAATTGCATGTGCATGTGCACTGGGATCAAACTCTTCTAGAGTAGTGACTCTATCCACCCTCCATTTGTTAAAGTGCTCCTGTGCCAGTAAAAAAACCCTCCAATTCACAGCTCACTAGGTAAGACTGAGCAAGTGCTAACACAGCCCTCCCAGATAACAACTAAAGCTTTCAACTGTAACCACCAGACCACATCACTCCAGTCTGTGGGTTGCAGTCACCAAATTCTGTTATCTCCTCCTCATAACCCTTGACTTTTTTGATGTCTCTCATGATGTAGGAAACTCTTGCCTCTATGGCCAGGTGACCTGGAGGAGCCAAGGATGCTCCTTCTGGCATGGGGATCTATGCACTATTATTAGAAAAGCTTAAGCCTAAACAATGTACATCTCATCTATTAAAAATACTCCCTTCAGGAAGGGAGTGTCTTCCCATCACCAGCTGACGGCTTATAAGACTTCTTTCCAGGACACCTCTTAAATAAAAAACAAATAGACAGAGACTGTGCCTTGTACAGCCTCACAAGAACATCCTTTCACAGCACACATAGCTGCTCCCAGTTCAGGCAGCCGACCCTTCCTTAATCCACTTCCTATATGTAAAAACTACGGGTGCCTACAGATTTCAGTGCAGTCATCTGTCATCTTCTCCCCACCAAGAACAGAGCAAATGAGAGTTGTTATACATATGGTACTGTACCTGGCAAGAACTCAAGCTGTGTATATAAAGCTAGCACAGACCTTCCCCACTTACATTACCTTACGTTTATCAGTACGGTATGTCTTTCAGAAATCTAAGCAACCTGTGGAAATCAGATCTGTCTTGCCCACACAACTGCTGCCACCTTCAAAGTGGTACATCTAAGGTTTGCTTTTAGAAAACCCATATTAATTCAACCTCAATACACTGTGTTTTTCCAAGTGTCCTTTATATGTGTTCTTTTGCATTGCTCCTATCACTTTGCTAGAGGAATGTTAGGCTTACTGTAGCCTGTATTCACCTAGATTTCCTAAGGTGTTTTTTTTTTTAAATTCCAGTCACACGACACAGCACAGAGTTTCTAGCATAACCTTGCACAAACCATAGTGTGAATTAGGTTTTCATCTCTTGAGCTTCATGAGACCTCCAGTACTTTGAACATCACCAACATCAGGCCCTGATTAGTCAGAAATGACCTTCTGTTTTATCTTTACTAGTATTATCTAGACAACAAAATGCTAACAGAGGAGTGCTACCAAACCAACAGGATATGTAGGAAAAGTCACCAGCAAAAAGACACCAAGACGGTGCTAGCTACGCTGACACACCAGCAACACATCACCAAGTCCCTCACACCTCAACATCTGTTTCATGTATGAACATCAGCTGCCCCTTCCCAACACCTGCCCCAGGACCAGCAGGCTGCAGGAAACCAGTCTCCCCCAGACTAGTCCCATGCTATCGAAGCCAAACAGAACTGCAGAGATCTGACCAAAAGTTAATTCTCTTCGAAAGAATCAAATTCCCTGCCCCTGTGCCAGCTCCGTCACAACGTACAGACACAGGGCAGGGCACAGGGCTGTTCCAGAGGCAAGCCCCTGGGCTTTAAGGGCTTTTTGAGCCAACGCTTCCAAAGTATCATCATTTGCAGAGCTGCCAATAGACTTATGCTACGCCTAACTCCTCTTTCAACCTCATTACACTTAGGCTGGTCTGAACCCCCCTATGCTACCACAGTTTGTTCCAGAGCTCACCTACACACTTTCTGAAACAGACCTAGTAAAAAAGCCCAGCTACCTGGTTAGAGCTAGGCAGCGTCCAAGCTGTCAACAGCCTGTGCTAACGTCAAGCTGAGAATGTTTATCTGGATCAGTTCCCTGATTGAACTTACTTCCCAGACATATGGGCCCTAGTCTAATCACACAGGCCAGGGTACAAGTCCAGCCACCTATTCTCTTCTCAGCAGGGCAGATATATGGCAAAATAATCACAAAGCTGTCGCTTGCTGCCACTGATCTTCTTTAGCTGAGCTTTTTGACAGCCACTCTCTACTGAGCAGTTTGGATAACCCTTTCTGTGTTCCAGGGGATTTATAAAAACACATCACATCAGAAACAACAACAACAACAGACAATTACTTGAAGCAGGATTCAGATACTTATGATTGTTTCCCCCCCCCCCCCTTTCTTTTTAAATAGGAGCACCAGTAACACTGGATCATCAAAATTTATACTTGGCACTGTTCATGCATAGACTATGGCATTTCTCCAGCTGCCTGGCATGCAGAAAGCAGGCAACTTCCAAAAGCAGTGACACCCAGCTCTTGTCCAGACACAGGCTTCAAGGCCTCCACAAGACTCTCCTAAACAGAGGAAGCTGACACTCTCAAATCGCCTGCTATTGAACTGGGGGGAGTGCTATTTTCAAACATCTGTGTTGTGCATCCCACGTGAGGGACCCACACAACAGGCTCAAGCCAAAGCACAAGACACTTCCAACACAAGAAAGATAATGTCTTGGTTCCCTCCAGGGCCACATGACTGGTCACAACAAACACAACAGCCACCACTTTTGTCAGGCACTAGCGTGCCTTCTCTCCCAGCACGTGCCCACGACTATGTCCTTGCCCAGCTACGGAGCAAAACCGCAATTCAACCACCAGCTGCAGGCAGGCACGAAGCTTGCTGAGGCGCTGTCAGCTGCAGGGTACGAGGAGGCCGTTTTACGTATTCTCCCCTGCTCTCCTTACACATCCTCAACCTGCTACCTCAAGACAGCCCCTCTGCTGAATGGGCCCCCACCCCACCTTCTGTTCAAGTAGCAGTAAGCAACACCAATGGTGTTGGTCCTTCCTGTTTCCCACTCTCACTGGCAGCACCTGCACGGGAACTTTCACACACTTGGGTACCTCTGTTGGAGGAAAGAGCAAGAGCAAGATTTGGTGGGGAAGGAGACGAAAAACTTCAGTTTTTCAGAATAAGTGTAAACAGAATAAGCAGAATTTGTTGCCTAACAAAGAAACCATAGAAAATAACTTCATGCTCTGACTGATTCTAGAGTCGCTTTAAAGAGACAGGGCTTATGTCACTAGCAGAAGCAACAGAAAAATTCATAATTGCAATCTCAAAACTCCTAACACAGACAGATTCGCAACAGTTTAGCAAATACCTGAGTAATTCAGAGCTCTCAGGACCAGCTCTTCTGCTTTTGCTCAGCTCCCACAAGCAGCTCTGAGGAAGTGACAGCCCAACACGGCCCAGCCAGACATGCCCCTCCAACTCAAAACAGGCTCACTGCTAACAGCACTAAGGACCTCTTTCATGTAATTTCCAGACAGGTATTCCTGCTCCACCCTGCTGTATAACATATGGACCTATGGATTCAGGACAGATGGAGGCAGAGCAACCGAACATGCCTGCAGAGCACACAGACATATGGCTGCAGCTGAGGTTTCAAGCCTTTGGGGACTCCAGCTTCAGAAAAGGGGAAGATCGAGGTTATTCACCACCAACCTTTGGGTGTTCATGCACCAATCAAGCCCTGCCCATGCATAAACTCGGTAAATCGTGGCCAACACCTTCTTTTCCTCCAGAAAAATACTTTCACTTACTAAAGCAGGGACTCCCACATGCAGTTTGCTCCCTTCCCCTGCCACCCACAGGGCAGCAGAAGCAGCTCCCTGACTTTCCAAACTAGCACTCCAGTATCATGGCCCCTTCTTCCCCCACCCGCTTCCAACTCATAAACATCCCAACTGCAAACTTCTACATACCAACTGCACATACACAACCTTGCTTCAGCATTCACTTACAAACTGTGTTATTAATGGCAAAGAGATCTCGGAGGGAAAATCACCACTTTTAAAAAACATTTCATTTTCAACTAATTTGAAAAGCAAACAAATAGGATTATCTCAATCCCTCAATGGAGAACAAGGGACTTTGCCTGTGAGCTAAAGGGAGGAATGCTACATTCACTGCAGAGGCACTCCCACTCCAGGACAATCCACTCCTGCCTAATTCACTGATTTCTTCTGGTTTTCCCTCTTCTTCTAGTCTGGAAGGCATACAACCAAACCTGTTTGTCCTTCACACTATTTGATCATTTTGTGCCCCCTTCTTTTCTGCTACTGTGTCCCTTTTGCCAGCAGAGTGCCATACCAGGAGAGATGAAGAACTAGGCAAAGCACACACTACAAGGATCTCCTAACACAATAAGAAAAGGTCAAGAGAAAAGTTTCGGGCAGGGCCTAAGCAAGTTCTATTATTTGCGCTTTCATGTTTTGCTCACGAGCAAAATCCCCGAGAAAGCATGAGTAAGACCTACCTGCATTCTGCTTCAGTCAACAGATGTTCCCCTAGTCAGACCAACAGCAAGTAGATTCAGCTGACACACGATATCCAGGCAATCAGACAACAGGAGGCCAGTCAGGGAACAGCAACAAATGCCCCTTCTCCCACACCAGAACGCCCCTTCTCCCACACTGAAGAGCAGACTAAAGGCAACAGCATTCAAAGAACAAAGTCCCTCCAGGCCAGGTGATTTAGACCAATGCTTCTGTGCTATCAAGACACCGATCACAAACGACAAATAACACACGGTCAACCTACAGCAGAGAACATCTAATGTCCCACAAATGGCACCTATTGACAGCTAAGTAGTCTTAACTATTGTCATCATACTACAACAACTCACTTCAACTCGGAACTACAGATCTTCACAAACACCATCTACGGAGACCCACAACTCCAACTGATAAAGAAATACATTAGAAGCCATTTCTGGAGCCAGATTTTCACCTAAATCCAGACAGAGATGGAAATAAATGAAACCCTTGATGATCTCTGCTTTCAGAAGCTCATGGGATTAACATTTTGCCTGTGCACCAGCAATGGGGATCTATGTACAAACAAGGACATTTAACAACAGCTTCTCCTTACACTCGCAAAAAGAAAAGGTGGAGTTGTCCACATCTTTTCGTCAGGGACACCTTCTCATAATCAAGACTTCTATGGCTGAGTCAGTCAAATCTATTCCTTTTGAGGACTTCTTGCAGCTGGAATAATTACCCAGGTAACATGACAATGCGTTAAGAAAGGGAAAGACAAAATTAGCCTACGTTAATCTTACTCAATAGTTGTCTGGTCCAAAACTCCTGTTACTGGGATCCCATAAAACTGTTGCATAGTGGCAACCGCAGACTGCACAGCTTTTCCCAACTGCAAGGCAGACATTTGGCTGTCAGATGGAAGTAAGTAGCCGTAAGTTTTTAACCAACCCTGAAAAAGAAAGAAACAGATGGTAAGATGCCACAGTAAGTTTTCAACTTAACAGATCAGAACATTTCCTCAAAAGTGACAACCTGGCCCAAAAAATTCAACCACCCCTCTTTTTTACATTGGGTTTGGTAATACCATCTGATTCCCAGCAGGGGCTGAAGACCCAACTTAATATCACCCGTCCTGTCAGGACAATGCAGACCTGCTGATTAAAAATGGCCACCATCCCTACAGAGTAACTGGGGCAGACTCAGGTCTTTGGAGCACCAGAAATGTCCAAGAAGCTCTGTCCTTGTTCCAGGGACCTCCTGTGCACCCTGCCACCTTGCCATCATGAGATTTCTCAGTGCCCACAGCAGCACACTCCCAATAACCCACTGCCTGCCACCCACTGCTGTCTCTGGAACACCACTCCAAGCCAAGAGCTTAACAGGCCTGGGCAATCCCCGCCAACATAGGTTCAGCTTTACACTTGCACCGAGCACAGAAGCATTTCCTTAAAAAAAAAAACAAACCCAAAACAACAAAACAAACAAACACACCCCACCCCAAAAAAACAAACACACTCAAAGTCTGCAGGGACTCTGGTTAGACAGACTTTTCCTTTAATAGCAGATAGCTAGCGAATTGTCAGAACAGGAAAAGAGCCAACCCTCCTCAAGCAACCTTGTCCCTTTTCCCCGCCTCCCCCCGAAACTGCAGCCTTAGATAAAACCACATGTCAAACTTGTCAAAATGCTAAGGACGGCATTTTCAAAACCACCCATTAATTCAGGATTATTTTCTTCCTCTCCTCTCTTCCCTCCACCCTCACTTTGATACCATGAGAAAAAAGAGTATTAATTCACCATTAAGTGCAGATGCCAATAAAACCTGAATGAAAGCTTGTTTTCATGAACTTTTCACCGTAACTTTTCATGCACACACCCCACTGCTGCTTTCTTCTGGCCAATACCCCAGCCCTCTAATTCAACACTTACAACCAGGATTACTTGAGATCAACATGTAGCCTGTAAGCTTTTTCCAGCCATGAGGACAATCCATCTGACCCACACAACACAGCCCTCAACACACAAGCACTGACAAATCATCTGCGCACACTGCTCTCGCACGGGCAGCCTGATCGAGGGCTCAGGAGAGGAGAGGCAAGTCTTCCCTTAACGTAACACAGCAGTGGGAAGTGGCTCAGGTCAAGAGGAGCACAAGAAGGCGAACAATCCCCATTTCTTTATGGCAACAGGAAGATACCAGAACACTGGGAAGACAGAAAGGCCTTGCTCCCGAGGCAGGAGAAAGAAGGTGTAAGACAGCATCTGGGCCAGGCATATTAAAGTTCACCAGGTACATGGACATACAGCACTGTTCAATGCAAACATTACCAACTGCTCAAGACAAAGCCAAGCTGCAAAACTGCTTAGAGACTGGACATTTGCTCCCACTTCCTTGGCAGCTGGCGTTGGCCTCTGACAAACACAGCATGCTGGAACACATGGACCTTCAGTCTGACCAAAAAAAAAAGTTGTCCTTGAGCAGCAAGGGCAGAGCACACTAACCAAAACAGCTCTGAGGAGGACTACCGTCGTGTATCCCCATTCCCTCCCGGCCAGACTCGGACACGGCAGCGGGCAGGGGAAAGGGACACGACGCCTGCACGGGGACTAAGAGAAGCTGCTCCGGGGAGGGTGATGCTTAGGAGCACACAGAAGGGGCACGGCCGCCTTCGCTCGTCGGTTCCCAACCTGCCCAGGCACAGACGGAGGAGCTGCAGGCGACTGCGGCCGCACACCTGAGCCCAGCCCGGCAGCAGCA